ACTCAGCCAACAGGAGTAGCTGATTCCCAAGGGAGACAGTGGGGGTGGGAAAGAAGAGGAGGGTGAGGAGAGAGTTTGCTTGGAGAACATCCACATTTTAAAGGAAAGAGTCACCAAAGGAAAGAGGAAAGGCCTATCTTAGAAGAATGAAGACCACAGAGTGTTGTCCCAAAATTCAGGAGGAGACTCAAAAAGCTGAGCAAAGAGAGGAGGGGAAGACGGGGAAGACAGGGAATGTGGGGAAGACGGGAAAGAGGGTCACCATCAGCCTGTGATGCTGGAGGAGGAAGGCTGAGAAGCCCTCCAGGGCCTTGCACTTCCGGAGGTTACCGACGCTCTGAACAGGGCAGTTCCAGGAGTGCAGAGGCTGCAGGTCTGTGGTCCCAGAGGCCGGGCTCGATGGGGAGGTGAGGAAGCAGAGGGACCGGGTGGAGACCCTCCCCTTCTTCACCGAATTAGAAGGCTGAGATTAAGAGAGATGCGGGTTCAAGGAGGGAGCTGCAGCCAGGAGGGGATAGAGACTGAGGGACAGGAGACTGAGGATGTGGGGACGAGGGAGTGATGAGTGGTGGCAAGAAAACCCCGAGGACAGGCAGATGGATTGGCTTCAGCTAGACAGAGACAACTTGCTCCTCAGGAGCTAGGAGGAGCTCAGACTAGCTGGCATTAATCAGTTTAATAATAAAATTAATCATTTACCAAGCACCCATTATGTGCCAAACACATCCCATAGATTACTCCAAACCTTCAACATGGTGTTATAATCATTGTTCTATAGAGAAGACCAAGCACCGAAGAGTTTAGGCCAGTCACTCAACACAGCACAGTTAGGGGCAGTGGGCCACCCAGTGGGCCTGCCCTCGCCCGCACCCCTCCCACCACATGACCGACAGCGGGAAGGAAGTCTGCCGACGAGGGGGATTGTGCACTGTACACATGCTGGGAAAAGATCTATACAGTGATTAAACATACATTTTAAAAAGAAAATTAAGGATTTTTTTTTTAATTAGACGTGGCCTTAAGAAATGGAGAACAAGTTAATGACATCTCAATATAATGGAGAAGATACAGCTTAACAGCTAAAAGAGTGACCCTGGGATGAGGCAGCAGGACTTCAGGGTAGACCCCAGAGTCAGGCTAAATAATTCTGTGGGCTGAGCAGGCTATAGGAGTCACCGAGAGCAACAGAGATGTGAGCCTCGGAAAGATGCACCCCTGACTAGATGCAGGCTGCAGGCTGGGGGAGGCGTGGCTGTGGTGACCCGTGTTTGCTGATTGGACGTGTGGAAGTGGAGGTAGCTGGAGAAGGAGGTAGTTTGGTGGTTGAGAGAAGGCTTGTCATTTGAATAGTGTCCGCAGAATACCCAAGGCGAGGTGTCAAGGAGAAGGCAACTATATTTCTTGACTGCTCTCTGTTTTGACACAACACACACACACAGTCTATGTCGCTGGACTCCCATGTAGTCAACCACGGTTCAAGTCCCAGGCCAGGGGCTTAAACTCATGCCTGGCGCGTGTGCATGCATGCCCAAGATCCCTAGAGGAGAATGGAGGATAAGGGATTGCAGTGTGGCCTGGGGGGTGATTTCTCGCTTTCTGTCTCTCTCTGTCTTTAGCAAGCGTATGCTCCCTATAGCAAAAACATCTAAAACATTTTTTAAAAAGTCATAAGATTAAAAAATGGGGAAAAAAAACACAACTGGGAAAGCTTTTTACCATTAACAGGGATGTCTAGGTCCCTTCACCCAGAGATGTGGATTTTAATTAACCCAGAAATGGTCCAGGCATTGGTGTGTTCTAAAAAGTTCTCCATGTGATTCTGAAGTGGAGCCAGGAGAACTCTTGAATGTGAAAGACCGTAACACCCACACAGGCATGCCAGGCGGGTGTTAAAAAAAAAGAATGTAATCTACAAAGACAAGAATGTGTCTGTTCTAGTGCCTGACACACTGGCTGGCACATAGTAGGTGCTCAGTTAAGGCTTGTCGCGTGAATGAACATAGGTGTCTGGAGCCCAGATAAGATGTCCAGGTGTCATCGGTGTCAGGTGGTCATGAAAGTCCCTAGAATGGATGAGTTCCCCCAGGAAAGGTTAGAGAGGAAAAAGAGGTGGAGCCTGAGGTTAGAGTCCTGGGAAACAAAACAATGGGAGAGCCAGGAGAAGAGGAGCCAGCAGTGGAATGGTGGAGTGGAAAAGAGGAGCAGGGAGGAAAGGGAAGAGGGACTAGAGTGGCAGAAAGTAAAGACAACAGTAGGAACTGGCAGAGAGGAAAAGAACAGAGTCACCAACCAAGAGAGAAGAAAGGTTTGAGGGGACAGTGGGGCAGTCGGTTGTGCAGAGGCTACAAACCCACTCCAACCAAAGCCCTGGGCAAAGGGCCTGGAAGATCATCTCGTCCAGGAGAGAAATCTGCCAGCCACCCAGCAAGTTAGGAACGAGGGTGGAACCAGAGCCCAGATGCCCCTACCGACCAATTAGAGACATCTCAGATTAGCCCTGCGTCCTCTACCAGCACCTGGTAATTCCTTGAGCTCCATGTAAACATAGAGTGGAAACCCAAGAGTTCCTGAAATCACTGGATGATTAAATTGTTCATTTCCTGTTCTTCGAAGTGAAGTCTTTTTGCAATGTCTTAAGTCTAATGAAAACATTTTGATTGACTGAGCTGAGCAACCCTCAAACTCAGGTTTCTGGGTCAGAATGGTTCTCTTGTGTTTCCTGAAAGCCTATTTCTCTTTGGCTTGTCCCCATCAGTATGAAGGCAGTAGCAGCTGAGTCTCACGAGCTCCTGCTACCTCCAAGCACTTAAGCTGTATTGCCTCCTCTCCTTCCAATACTGCGCAAGGCCAGCCTTCAGACTCCCCCACTTCGCAGGGAACAAACGAGCTCCCCGGGTCCCACCATCAGCAAGTACGGGCGCCTGGATTTTGAGCCTGATGCAGAGACCCTGGGGACTTTTTTCTGCTACATCATGATTTTCTCTCCCCAAAACAACCCATCAGAGGGTCTGATCATGTAGATAAGCTCTTGGGTCTCATATTATGGGTGAAAAAAAAATTGTCTGCTGATATGACTTCTCATTTTGAAAGAAATGAGGAAAATCCATCAACACACTGACTGTGACCTTGAACTCAGCTTGGTTTCAATATCCGCCCTGGCTTTTCTGCAAGCATTTCCCAAGGACCCCCCCCCCTTCTATCCGTGTCGTGTTTCCAAGCATTTCCCAAGGACCCCCCCCCCCTTCTATTTTTCCCTAGCGAATATCCTGAAGACCCCAAGGCGGTGCAGGATGAAAGGCCTTGGGAAGTAGGCCTGGCCTCAGCAGACCACAAAGCCACATCGCAGTCTGAATAGCTCAGGGGTACCCCCCATGCACACCCAAAAAGAGAGTTCAGTGGCTCTGTCTGTTAAAAAAAAAAAAAAAAAAAAAAACTTCTCTTAAGAAAGAGTGAA